TCCTGCTGATAAAAATAATAAAACTTTAAGAATTTTAATGTCGAAAATGTAGGACACAGAGAGCCAGAGACATGGAAACAGAGAGAACTCAAATAAAATTAAATATGAGCAAAATACCAAAAGTTATAATTGATAATTAAGGTTTGTATATGTCTTTGATGATACTGATGCTGGAAACAAATTAAACGGATTATTTTTAAGTCATTTGGCATGAAGGTTTCCTCTTAAACTTAGACAAAGAGGGGTTAACAACAATACTATGCTTCACTTTCAGGGTGCTTGTCAAGTGTTTAAATTTCCATTAGGAGTTTGAAGTCTGTTTGCAATTACTGTTACATAAGAGTTGATTCAAATTATCAAGATCAGTCACAATTAATTAAGGTGTTGCCTGCCATACTATTGACAGCTTTTTTCAGTAAGATGAGGATGGAAAGTATAAAGTTTTTTGTCTTGCTATCTGATGATTAAAATTGATGTCTAATTTGGTTGTAATTGATCACTGTAGCTGCAAGTGCTGAATACGTGGAGGAACCAGCAACAAATGTGAAATTCCAGACATGTTTGAGTGTTCCGGGTTGCTCAAATTCATTAACTTTGTTTGGAACTGGTTAGTTGTTATAATACCCCATGACTTTTGGAAGAGGGTACATGAAATTTCTCTGAACGTGTGAAAATATGATTACAGCCATAACTAGATCTGTCAATGTGAAAAGCTATATTATAGCAAAAGTCATGTTATAGTATCACATGACTTTTGGAATATAGAAAAATAAAAATGCTCTGAGGATGTGAGAAGATATTAAATATATATGATCTGTTGATATTGAATATATTATAGCAATTTCACATGCATATGAGAAAATATATAGTGAACAATTGAGGTTAACTACGAGGCACTAATTCTTTGATAAGAGAAAATAAATATATTATCAATTTTGCAAATAGTTGCGTTGGGCAACCAAACTTAGTACAACTATAAACTTGAAAACTTTTGATTGCAATCATTTTCCGTTTGTATTGTATTGCAATTCTTTTTCCGGACAGTGATTATTGCCATCCTGAAGACCAATAGAATTTAGAAAGTTATAATGAAGTAGTCATGATTTCTTTTTCAATGTTATAAGCTTTGATGAATAATAATAATAATAATAAACTTATTGCAGGATACAGAGAGAAAGTTTTTGCGATTATTGGTGTCAAGGTCTACGCTGCAGGTTTGTATCTAGATCAATCTATCACCAGTGAGTTGAATACTTGGAAAGGGCAATCAAAAGAAGCTATTCAAGGGAATTCTTCCTTGTTCAAGACCATTTTCCAATGTAACAACTTTATATTCATTTATTTCTTTTACAATGCTCTCAAAGAGTCATACTAACAGTTAATAAATTGATAAACACATGCTTTTTTTATATGATTGCAGCTTCCTTTGAGAAATCATTACAAATTATCCTTGTCAGAGATGTTGATGGTAAAACCTTTTGGGATGCCTTAAGTGAAGCCATATCACCAAGAATTCCAGAACCTACAACTGCAGATGAAACTGCTTTGAGCACTTTCCGTAGTGTCTTTCAAGATCGCCCTCTTAAGAAAGGAACTTTAATAATCTTGACTTGGTTGAACCCTGCAAGATTGCTTGTAAGTCTACTTTCATATTTTTTTTGTGATTTTTTCTTCAGACAATTGACATATTTGATATCTATTTTGCCTCCTTTTAACCTTTGCTATCTAAAATGTTCTAACTAAATTCATTGACATTTCAGGTTTCTGTCTCCTCACAAGGGCTTCCATCTACTGTGGATGCTACAATTGAATCTGCAAATGTGGCTTCTGCTCTTTTCAATGTATTCCTTGGTGATAGTCCTGTTTCTCCTTCCTTGAAAGGTTCAGTGGCTGAAGGTTTGTCAAAAGTACTCAAATAAAAAGGTTTAGTGTCTGTTGATGTAATGGTTCAGTCTTTAAATGTTTTGCTGTGGCCTATATTCTCTTGATGTCTATGTAAGCATGCTACAATTGGAAGCTGTTATTTAGTTCCAGTGTTTATTTCTAGTGATATAAAATATTTGATTTGGTCACTATACTTTGACCATTTCTGATATACTATTTCTCCTAGAAGGAAAAACATTATTAGAATCACTTCATACCTGTGCTTCTCTGACCAAAGCTACTTCTTGTTGGTCCTAGTCCTGATACATTCAACTTGGTGGATTGGAATTTAATCATGTCATGGTGTATATTAAAATCTCTCAGTTCCTGTATAATTACACAAATTTTGTTGAAGCTGATAAGCACTAGGTAGTGGCTGAGTCTCTTAATATCTCAAGCCCCCTCCAAATTTCAATATTTTACCATACATTTTGTAGTTCTTCACATCTTCATAATTTTAACCCCTCTTGAGCATGGAATTTCCAAACTACATGACTTGGAGTCTAGCTCCACCGCTGCTGGTAGGATGGTTTTCCAGAAACTTCAGAGTGATGGTTTTGATAGGAACATCAGGATGAAATATTAATAACAAGTTTGTCTGGTTCTGTTTGCTCAAGCAAACTGACAACTTCAGCCATGGTTGGCCTCTTCAAGGGATCTGGTTCAAGACACATCATTGCCATGTTGAACACCTTGTTGACCTCTTGCATTGAACAAGACCCTAAGCTGTTATCAAGAACTAACTCCTCCTTCTTGTCTCGAACAACAGCCTTCACCTGAGGAATAATAACAAAATGATTTTCTAGAAATTAAGTAGTACTCATCCCAAGGTTGGGTCCAGAATTTAAGTAATTTGAATAGGAGCTTGAAAATGTTGTTCTCCCCAGTAGCTAGCATCAAAAACACATTCCATTTTGATATTCAATGGGATGTGTTTCATAATTCCATGGGAATGAAGGTACGAGTAAAAACAATTAAAGTGGATTATATGATAGTCATATTGTGTTTCTAACTGCACAATAGATAATGCTTTCAGCTCTATAGATTTATGCTTTCTACATGTACAACAGATGAATACAATTCATATTTGAGGTCAATGCTTTAATTTTTTCATTTTAAATTTATTTTACTAGCAATGATATAGCTCAAAGTACTATGGTACTTGAGTAAAATTTGTTATATATATATAGGTTATTCCGTTATTGATTTCAATATTGTTTGATGAGTTTAATAATAGAAGGCAATCTCCAATAATTCATGTCTTACCCATGTGACCAGCATGGTTCCCTCTTCCATAAATGCTTCATCACTGGGTTTTTTCCCTGTTAAAAGCTCTAGCAAAACAACTCCAAAGCTGTAAACATCCCCTTTGAGTGTTGCTCTTCCTGTATCAAAATATTCTGCATGCAAACAGTCATCAATTTGAAATACAAGTAGTGTGAAATGTAAACATAACTATGTTTATATGGGCTGTGTCTATACCAGGTGCCAAGTATCCAAAAGTTCCAGCCACAATTGTTGAGACATGAGTTTTATTTGGTTGCATCAACGTGGCTAATCCAAAATCAGAAACTCGGGCATCCATATTTTGATCCAACAATATATTACTTGACTTGATGTCTCTGTGGATGATGTGAGGGATGCAATCATGGTGAAGATATGATATTCCTCTAGCTGCACCTACAGCTATTCTATATCTGGTTGGCCAATCCAAAACCTTCTTGTCCTTTGATCTCCCTGCATCACTTTCAACTTTGCGATTAGAAAGCTCAGTTCAATTATCATTTGATCAAATTCCAAAAGCATAAAATATAACAGAAGAAACTTGCATTTCCATCAATGGATCACATGTTGCAAGAATGGTGATGTGCTGCTGAATAACAAAAGAATTTCACCATTTCATCCTAGTCATAAATTTTTCACCAGGTATACTTGGTTAAAGTAAAAATGTGATAAGAGAGTCAATACTAAAATCTATAATGCATCAAAATGTTCATGGATTCCTTCCATTTCCTCTCCTTTTGAGTTTTGACTACTACCAAAAAGTCTCAAAATGTAATGTCAGAAACTAACATGCATACCATACAAAAAGGAATCCAAACTTCCATTAGCCATTAGCTCATATAGGAGCAGATTGTAGTGTGGTGCAGTGTAATATCCATGAAGAGTCACAATGTTGCGGTGCTTTATGTCTGCCATTGCTTCCAACTCTCTCTCAAAACCTCTATCTCTCTCTGAAGTTCCACGGTTTAGTCTTTTTACTGCCAAGGCTGTGGAGTCATCTAGTTTTAGTTCATAAACCACACCATAACCACCTGATCCAATGATGTCCTTGTTGTTCAGTTTCTGTGTCTTCTTTAAGATCACATCAGATGTGAGAGATTTAGACAATAAGGATCTAAATATTACCATCTTCCCTCCTGTATTAACCAATCAATGTATATTAATTTTTTTTTTCTCTGCAAGAATAAAAGTAGAAGACACCCCTTTTTGCCTCCATACCTTCTTCATGGATCATATGTTTTCTTCTCCATCTTTTGTAGAGGAGGACTGAGATAACAATCTTGGATATCACAAAAGCGATGAAGCATATGGTTATGGAAAAGGCTATAACCAAGGAATTCTTCATTTGGTGTTATAAACTAAAGCTGAAATTTTAAGAACCTGAAGACACAGTAAATTAAAATAACCAATGAAAAGTCATGGATTAGCTCCGGAAATCACATTGTCTAAACATGCAGAATCTGGAATACGAGGACATGTTGAAAAATTACTGCATGAAATATACAGAACTAGCATATATATATATATATATATATTTTTTTTTTATCTTAAATAAAACAAAACTCAAATGAAGAAAGTTGGAAATCTCACGGCATTTCTGTGCAGTATTTTGTAGTATTCTGATATCTTAGACAAATCACTTCAAAATCTTCGATTTCTTGTATCCATGAATGCTTCTGAAGATGAAAATAGCTTCCATCTTCACACAGTGGATTGGAAAAAGTTTTGCACACTTGTTCACTGTAACAGTTCCGAACTTAACTTTCAACATTTGTCTCGTGAACTCATTTTAGGTAAATAATCTAATTATAAAATCTGTAACTAGTGTCAATGGATACAAACCAGCATGGAAGGTTCAGATATATTTTCTATGCACTAGGCATATTTCATCCTAGATGATGCTGCTTAAATTTAAGAGCAAAGATGATGGTGATAGAAGGAAAAATAGCAGCTGTACAAGCAGCTTTTTGAAAACAAGGTATTTCTGATAATAAAGTTTGACATGAAGAAGGCCCACGTTTTTTGTCTGTCCATCATTATCTGCTCCTCTGTGTCCAAACAAACTATTGTGGATTTGAAGGTTGTGACATGCTACCCATTTAGCATGTTTTTAATTGAAAGCATGGGTTCTCAAGTGGATAAAACTTGTCAAAAATGTTGATATGACTTTATGTGTGAAAACACTTGGGACCCTTTTTTTTTTTTTTTTTTTTAATATCCTCTAATAAAAACAATCTTGTTCAAGTCATCGATTGAACTTTTTTTTAAGTGATATTTAATAAAATTTCATACTCAAGACTAAAACTTGAATTAAGATCATTAGTTAAACTAAAACAACTTCTTATCAGATGATTCATGTGTTCGTGGGTAAAATATTCAAAACTTTTGTAGCATCATCAATCAAAGTCCACACATTTTTTCAAGCTGGCAGTGAAATTTTTTCCACACCATTCACCAATGTGAATGGATTTTGTCACATCCTTACCATCCTACTTCCATTATAATATTGGAAATTGGGAATGTTCCCAGCTATTAGAGTATGCTGAAAAGGACAGAAAATGAAAAGTAGGCATGGTGGGTGTACTAAAGAACAGGTAAAAGTTTTGTAACATTCAATGATCATGTGAATGTGTATGCTGTCACCCTATTTTCTTCACCACCTGTTCTTGTTCCATTAATTTTGGAGGGTGGGAATTCTTTATACCGACGAGATAAACATCATCGGAAAAGGAAGAAACAAGCACTTGTGAAAATGATATGCTTATATTGTTACTTTGGTTAGGCAGTTTTCTTGCGTGTTTCAATTGTATAATAAAAACTATATTTTGTAGCTAAGGTCACACAAGATTCCTGTCGGTAGTCTGAACAAAAATTTCATAGAACACCCTTTCTGAATTCACACGAGTGAAAAACAAGTAATGATATTATTATTTAACCATGTATCTTTTTCTGCCATGATATTCCTTAGATTAAGGACTATAGTGAAAGTTTATTCAATAATAAAATAAAACTATTTCATTGGCAATCAATTAAATGTAAACAAATATTAAGTAATAATAATAACAGATTTATCGTAAATTGTTTTTTTTTTTTTTTTTTTTTTACATCATGAATTGTTAATATATATAGAAGAATTTTTTTAAGCCAAATCAGCTAGGAAAGATAAACCTTAGGGAGTAATCATTGCCTTAATGTAGTACGTAGACTAGAGACAGTTTTTGACTGAAAGTGATTATTCTATTTACACGTGGTACATAACATCATAATTCTAAAAATGGACTATTAACATTGGCAAGAAGTCATCAAATGAATGATCAAAATAAGCCATTTAAGAAGGGTTTTGCCTCTTCAGCCTTTACAGTCACGATGAACTTACATTTTACAACACATTGTTGTAAACTTGTACGTAAATTGCCGATGAGTTAAACAACTATCGGAGTATAAACAACATCTTATATCGATAAAAAAAATTATAAAATATATACATATTTTAAAAATTGAGAAGTATTTTAAATAATAATTAAAAAATAAAATTGTGAAGATTTATGTTCAAAACGGATTCTGATGGTAAATATTTCACCTAATATCATAATTAAAAAATAATAATTAAGAGAACGAAAATAATAAACTAAAATAAATTAGTGTGAGTAATATTTATAATATAGAATAAATTAGTAAATAAATTGAGGAAAAAATTGTTAGAAAAATAATTCAAATTTCAATATTCAAATATCTAAGATATATTTTTTTTATTAGGATATTATTTAGAATTGAAATATATTGTGTTTATTTTAAATATTTATTTTCTTTCTTAAGATTAGAATGTTAGGTTAATAAACAAAGACTTTTGATATGAAAAGAATCACTCAATCTCGCGAGGGGATCACCACCTTAATCAGAGAGGAGGTCATATAAACGAGGATTTTCAAGTTTCTTCATCAAACTTGTAGGGAAGGGTTTCAAGTTTCCCATGAAACTTGTGAGGAGGAGTTTTTAAGTTTTACCTACAAAACTTGAAGGGAAGCTTTTTAGGAATATACATATAATACATTTTGAGATAATGAACATTTTAATAGACATTGTCATGAAGAGTCAAACCACATTAAATAAATTGTGTGATTTTCTATCAATTTATGATGTTATTTTTAATGTGTTTTATCATTATTGCACGTAAAAGAAGAGTTTTTTTTGTTCGCAACATCCTTAACTAAGTTATTTAAGATTTGAATTTTGATATTGAATATGAAATAAAGTATGTTAAGAGAAGAATACTCGATTTATGTGATTTATGTGTACTTATAGTTTCTAACTTAAATTAATTACTGCTTTTGACAGTGAATAAATATTTCGTAATAATATCATGATTAAAAACGAATCTAATTGTATAATGAAAATAATAAATTAAAATAAATTAGTGGGTAGAATATTCATAATATAAATTAATTCTTTTACTACATTTTAAATCATGAAAACAATTGTAATTCTAAGTATGTATTATATTTACAAATATTAAAAAAATTAGTGGAGACAACGACTCACTCCCTTGTGAATAGATCTGTCCCTAGCAATAACACACCATTTCATTTACATGATGGACAAAACATACGTGCAAATACTTAGCTCAAGGACAAAACAAATCATTGTTAGACTGACACACAGTGGATCAATCAAAGTTTGAGTTTTTTTTTTTTTTTTTTTTTT